TCACAAAACAAAGCATGCAGCAATGTGTCATCCTAAGTTTTCTTATTAAAGCTGGAGATGACATGTGGCATTAGATGTTCATTGCTCCTTAACAGCATGAGAGCACAGACATCAGTGCTAGAAGATAATCAAATTCTAATGCAGGCAAAGTAAAAAAAAAAAAAAAAAGTTTGAGCTCACTTATTTCTCCATTATTTGCCATATCAACAAATCAAAGTCTGCCACCCTAAGGTGAACAGTACATTTACAAGAGTTTATTCTGGTCAAGCATCTAAAATGAAAATCTAAGCGTTGATTCAGCCACTGTGCCGCAGCGCAGCCTGCCTCCAACGCCGAGTTGCTTCAGCTCGACAAAATCGACAAACATCAGAAAAGCACCATTGCTTTGTTCTCTGATCTCATGCTGTGCCCCAGCAGGGCGGATAGGCAGTTACCCTCATTTACACAAATGTGCACATTCAGATGAAGACAGTATAAGCAGATGAGATAGAATAATAAGAAGGAATTGACAACTGAGGCATTAAAGAGATAAGAAAACCTGCAAAGCCCTTTTAAACTTTGGTAAGAAGCGGAAACTTCCTGCCAATCAGTCACTTTCATTTCCTTTCTGGTTGGTGTTTTGTATCAGTTTGCATGTATACAAATAAAAATATTTTTCCATAAAAATAAACCGGACCCTCTTCTCCAGGGAGCTGAATTACTCTTTTGGACATTGAAGGCTAGAAGTTCTGCATTTGATTTACTGTAAAACCTAAAATGGCAGCATACACACTATCTAATGCAGGGGTCACCAACGCGGTGCCTGCAGGCACCAAGGGGCCCTCCAGGACCACATGGGGGCTCAGCATCTTCTGAAAACAGAACAACTCACATGTGGGTTAAGTCTGAAATTAAATTTGATTCTGTTGCTCTTCTTTTTTAAGTATTTATAGAGCATTTATAAATATTTCAAAAGAACTAAAAGAAAATTAGAAATTATAAGAACCATTAGATATCTGTTTATTATTTATTAAATTTAGATGAATGTTGACCCCTCCAGTTCATACGTCAGAATTTGAACCCCTTCCTTTAAATTCAGTACTCATGAAGTAGACCTCAGCCTTAAAAAGGTTGGTGACCCCTGAAATGTAAAGCAAGACCTAAAATGCTGCCTGAATTAAATCTTTTAATTGACATTCATTAAAACTCATTTGATTTAGCAAACACTTTGTGAAATATGAAGAATGATTTTTTTAGCAATCCATTTTTGACTTCTTATGTGAATTTACTTTATATGTTTATATGTGCATATTTATGCTTGAATGAATTCATAGTGGTGGCTTCACAGTGGAGCAGTCGGCAGGGCTGTTGTCTTGCAACAAGCTCCATGCTTTTGCATGATCTTTTAATGTTCTTATACCGGAATGAACCCAATAATTCAGATGGACACAGTGTTGCTCTTATAAGGTTGATTGAAAGATGAAGATCTGAACGACTGAACTGAAGGTTAACATAAAACTGTATGGTGGTAGGCTGACCAAGCTGGTGGCCATTGGAACAGTCTGAACAGGCTAGTGGCAGACTTGAGAAAGCAAATCATAGATGAACAGGCTGCTAACAAATTGAATAGGCTATGTGACATACTGAAGGTAAAGATGATGGCTTAAAAGGATGGTGAGGGGCTGAATAGGTTGGTGGCAGACTTTAAATGGCAGCCGATGGCTAAACGGGCTACAGGCAGGTGAAAAAGGAAGATGACGACTGATGGTAGCAGGCTGAAAAATAATGTCTGTACAGGCTTGTGGCAGGCTGAACAGAGTACTGGCAGGCGGAAAACTCTAGTAGCAGGCTGGAAAGGTTGGTGGAAAGCTGATAATGCAAAATTGGGACTCCCTGCAGTTTGCTTATCACTGTGGAGATGGAGCTGATGATGCCATCATACACCTGCTTGAACAAGCCCAACAGACCCAAACAGCACTGTGAGGATCAGTTCTTTGATTTCTCCTGTGCATTTATACAAATCAACCTGACTGACTGTGAGAAACTTCAGAAGACTCAAGTGGAGGAATCAAAAATCACCTGGAACAAATACTAGCTGACAGACAGACCACAGTTTGTTAGACTGAAGGCTCAGCTGTCTGATCAAGTAGTCAGCAGCACAGGAGCACCACAGGGGACGGTACTCTCTCCATTCCTTTTTCCTCTGTTCACCTCTGACTTCCAGGACCAGACAGAATCCTGTTATCTACAGATATACTGGGATGACTCTACAGTCATTGGAAGCATCAAAGATGGAGCAGAAGCTGAGTGCAGAGAGCTGGTGAAGCGATGTGTAGCATGGTGTGGAAACAATCATCGCATCTTGAACATCAACAAAACAAGGAGATGATTGTAGATTTCAGAAGAAACAGGAACAAGTTGTATCCTGTTAACATCATGGTAGAAGAAGTGGAGGTGGTGGAGGACTAGAAATACCTTGGTGTTCACCTGGACAACGTGACGCCGTCTACACGAAGTGACAGGGTTGAGTCTACTTCTTAAGGAATCTTTGGTCCTTCGACGTTTGCAGCAAGATGCTGCAGATCTTCTATCAGTCTGTTGGCGAGAGAGTGATGTCTTCCTCCCTCATCTGCTGGGGTAACAGTACTAGACCTAACGACTTAAAAAAGCTCAACCAGCTGTTAAAGAGGACTGGCTCTGTTTTAGGAACTCCTCTAGAACCTCTGGAGATGTTTTTACATTGATGAATTCTTCAAAAAGTGAAGAACATTAAGGACAACAATGAGCATCCTCTTCAGAAGATTTTTTAATTTTCTTTATTAAGAGAACCTGTGGGAGACAGACCAATACAGAAGGTCCTTCCTGCCTACAGTTATCAACACCTACAACACCTGTATAAAAACATAACTCATGAATTACTGCAACATTTAATTTCCCTTTGGGATTGATAAAGCTTTTTTGATTATTATTTCTTTAATTGATAGCTACAGCAGCAGTCATTCAATATGGCAGTTCCCAGTCAAATGAATGGCAGCCGACTTCCCTCAAACTCCCTGCAAAATCTCCTCCAACCTCCAGCCACTGGAATGACCTCCTCTTGCATATTTTTCACTCTGACTCCACCCTTTCACTGAATTACATGGTCTGACCAGGAGATGATCCTTCTCTTTAGATCTGGATGTCCATAAATCATGACAGAAAGAACATTTAAGTACAAAGACTGATGTTTAAAAATGTATTGTAGGGGACCAGCCAAGGGCCCATCAAGGAAAGTCAAGAAATTTTGAATGGCTGCTACTGTACTATTGGACAGGAATAACCTCGGTACTGATTTCATCAAAGCTTAAAGAATCAGAGCAACTAAACGTTTAACATCTTCAGTAGTTTAATAGTGGGTTGATTGGCACATGGATCGTTTGGTGTGGCAGGTAGAGCTAACATTCATCTGCTTAGCATTGGAAAGAGAGGCCATGTTTTCTAAATATAGATGCTAAAGAAAGAAAAATAATGAAGACGAACAAGAATTGATCCTTGAGAAATCCCACAACCTCAAGTTAAAGAATAGATTTCTCAATAAATGCAGAGCATACATGCCTTTATTCTCTCAGCACTTATATCAGTTAATTTGATTTAAAATGAAATACTGTCCAGTGGATTAAGTGGTTGTACAAAAATCAGCCTTCTCTCTTAGTTTTAGCTAAATTGTTTACAATTTTCCTTATTTTGGTCAATGTTAGCCACCAGAAGATGCTGCAGGAAAAGGCAAGGAAGAGTGCAGACTAATTACTCTTTATTCAGTGAACATCCTAATTTTCCCCACCGTTTTTTATTTTTCCCTTCTCCCTCTTCCATCCTTCCTTCCTCCCTCCTTCCAGGCTTTTTTCCTCTGGCTCTGATGGGAGATGCAGCTGGATATAATGCCCCCCCTACACTCACTTTCTGATGTAGGGACACACACACTCTTCCTTTCCTCCCCCTCTCTCTCTCTTTCTCTCCCTCCTCCCCTCCTGCTGAGAGGTAAACAGAAAAGGAGATGTCATTTAGTTTCCGAACTGTTGCGGAGCTCCCTGCAGCCACTCACTCTCTTTTGATTTCAGTCATTAAAAGGAACCAAAATAATAATAATAAAAAAAAAAATCTTGGACTTAACTCCCACTCTGCAGCATGTATGGAAAAGAGAGAATTTAAAGAGTGACAAGGATAACAGGAGTGGATCGCTCTGAGTTGGATTTCACAGAATGAGTGCACAGCTGCCATGGAGAACACATGAGCAGGGATATAGGGAATAATGCTGCTGAGTGAACTTTGCTGGTAATTCTGAACAGAATTCGTTTTGGGAAGGAATTTCACCAACTTGTCTTAAAGAGAGACCTGGAGAAGGTAGGAAAATATTCCAAATGTTTTATTATTATTATTGCATTTGAGCTACTTCAAAACAAACAAAAATCACTTTAAAGAATGATAAAGAATGAAGGATTTGTTACTGTAATTTTCTGCATCTAACACACACACACACACATATATATATAAGCAAAATAGTTTTCCGTTGGTATTTCAATAATTGGCTGCCCTCGTTTCTTTATTGATTCCATAAGCCTAGAGAATCAATCTTGCACATCAGGATCAGTATTTTTGTTTTTAGGTCAGTTTTAAAACCATTTACTGCTGCAGGATCACAACAGTAAACAAAGAAATTGGTTTCTATTCTTTCTGTTAATGTCCTATCCTGGCAACTTAGATAAACGCTATCTATTTGTCGGCAACTTTGTGGCGAGGAAAGGGTTGCCACAATGCAAAATGAACAAGCCCTGAATGCAAAGAGCTAAAGATGGCAAAGCGGGTACCAGAGGTCACTCACTTTAGTCTTTTTTGTTGAATTGATAACAACTCAAGCAAAGCTGTTTTGATGTATTTGATTTAATGCATCTAAATGTCACTTTCCTGTCTGTGACCTTTGTTTCATCGTAACTCTCTTCCATCTGTCTTTAAAATGTCACCTTCCTGTTTAATGCCTGAAGGTGGGACATTGGAGGAAGGAGCTCTCAGAGAAGCATGGCGGCCACAAGCCTCTCATCCCAACACCCTTTTCTCTTCTTCGTCTCCCTTTCTTACCTGGTCAGCCAACCAGCGCTCACCCAGGACTCTTCCTTCTCCTTGGCAACCGTCACGGAGAACGACCCCTATCTCACCCCCACCAAAGTGGTCAACCAGACATCTCCAAGATATCAGGACGTAACCCAGGGGACTCCTCCAGAGACGGGGCTTTCCACACCCACCAGTGGTGGAGACGGTGATGATGAGGATGACCCACCAGTTGGAGGAACCCGATGCCAGGGTTATTATGATGTAATGGGCCAGTGGGACCCGCCATTCAACTGCAACGCGGGGGTCTTTCTGTACTGCTGCGGTACTTGCTTTTATCGCTTTTGCTGCCAGTTCCGTCAGCAGAGGCTGGACCAGACCATCTGCTCCAACTACGACTCGCCCATCTGGGCCAACACCGGGAAGCCAGTGGCGACCATCACAGAGGGCCAGGGGGATTCGGACCGGGATGGTACACACCTCATTGTTTACATCATATGTGGTGTTGTCGCAGTCATGGTGTTGGTGGGCATCTTCACCAAACTGGCTCTAGAGAAGACCCGTGGGGGAAGTGGGGGAGGAGCAGGGGTACCGCAGACTGACATCAACTCCAGGTGAGGAAATTTGTGTTGCTTGTTAGATATGCTCTGATGATCTTGCCCGTGTTTGTATAAACTGTTCTGTTCAAAGGATTACAAGCACCTGTAATATGGGTGTCATTGAAACATTGGGCTTTGATGAGTTATAGTAGGTGGAGGTTTCCCCCCGATGATGCACCTATCATGACTTTCCTACTAAAAGAAATAACAGTATACAGTATGTATACTGATCATATATATATATATATATATATATATATACAGAGATGGCAAAAGTACTCACTTTCCGTACTTAAGTAAAAGTACAGAAACTTGTGTTAAAAAATACTCTGGTAAAAGTGGAAGTACTGATTAAACTTCTCTACTCAAGTAAAAGTAACAAAGTACAGGCTTGTAAATTTACTTAAAGTATAAAAGTAAAAGTAGAAACCACTTTTTTCATGCCGTTGCCTACATTTTAAATGGATGTCTGCCAATAGGACTAGATCTCCGTTGTGTTCATTTTCAATCATCTCGTCGTCCATGCTACTATGCTAACGCCACCGCCACCAAGCTGCAATGATTTGCCGCCAATGAATACCGCCGAATCTGTCGATTCATCTTGTAGTGGTGCGTCAAATGCAACGTAGATTCACATCCAATTAGATTGAATTTTGGTATTGATGACGTGAAAAATAATAACGGTAACTCCATTGAAATGATTCAAAACTAAAGTAACGAGCCAATTTTTTAAAATGTAAGGAGTAGAAAGTACAGATATTTGTGTAAAAATGTAAGGAGTAGAAGTAAAAAGTAGCCATAAAAATAAGTAGTAAAGTAAAGTAAAAATATCAGAAAAATCTACTTGAGTACAGTAACGAAGTATTTGTACTTCGTTACTTCCCATCTCTGTATATATATATATATATATATATATATATATATATATATATATATATATATATATATATATATATATATATATATATATATATATATATATATATATATATATATATATATATATATATATATATATAGCAGAGGAAAGCCATTGGGGTTGACTTAGCAATACATCAATATATATGACAATCATTGTCCTGATATCCATACTTTGACTTCAGCACTATAATTCAGAAAGTGAGCTTTTCCTGTTTTACCGGTTGTCATTAGCCTAAAACTGAGAAGCAACACTAAATTTGCAGAAAACTGGTCTGAGAAGAAATAAATGGAGAGAAGAGAGAAGAGGGCCTAATATGGAGCCTTGAGGTCCTCCACATGTAATGCGTGCTACTGATGACTCAACAGAACCTACTCGATTTGAACTACTCAAAAGCAACACCATGAACACCCACTCAGTCCACTCCCACTGGTGTTGATTTCTAGGTTTTTTGTTTGCTTTTCTAAATTCATTCGATCACTGTCAGGAAACTACTTTTAAGCATATTTTATAGATTTTCAATGGGGGGAAGTAGGGCCATTATGCAAGCTTCTTAAAACCCTTTATATGCATTTGAATCCTTTTGAGCTGCTCAGCGAAGCAGTGGGTAGCACTGCCAAGCTTCCGGGTTCTCGGCCCTGGGTGTTTCTGCATGGAATTTGCATGTTCTACCTGAGCATGCGTGGGTTCTCTCCGGGTACCCCGGCTTCCTTCCACAGTCCAAAAACATGTCTGTTAGATTAGTTGGCTTCTCTAAATCCTCCTTAGGTGTTAGTGTGTGTGTGAATGGTTGTTTGTCCTGTTTGTCTCTGTGTTGCCCTGCGATGGCCCTGCCTCTCACCTGTAGAAAGCTGGAGATAGGCACCAGCATCCCTCACTACCCCAGCAGGGATAAGCATAACAGAAAATGGATGGATGGATCCTTTTCTTTAGGGAACACCTGAATGTGTTCCAGTTTTGATCTGGTCTGTAAATTCACCTGCTGTTAAAATTGCTGGAAAGTAAGAGAAAACAATAATTTTCTATTTTACGGCTCAAATTCGTGCATCAGATTTCGAGGTTGTGATGTCTCCCTTCCATCTCGGTGACTGGAAGCCCATCGCTGTCTGTTTGCCCTGGAGGCGAAGCTGTAATGTGGGAGGTGGGGGTGGGGATTATTATTGATCATAAAACATGGAAATGCAGTGGGAAAGATCGGTCTAGATAGATTTTTATTAGTGTAGCAAATGGCTATCATTGGTCATAAGCTGCCATTTCCAAATAAATCTCTATCTATGCCCCTGATTTTATTAATGAACAAATCAATTTATTATGTTTCAGTATTGAGGTAAACGTTATTCTAATAATACTTTAAAAACATTTTTTTTATTCATTATTATTATGTCTGTTTTTAAATGTGACATTTATTTGATTTATTTGGTCACTCTTTGCTTTAGTGTTTTCACAGTTTAGTTTTTTTTTCCTACTAGTTGGAACAGCTAATTCAGATGTTAGCCTCTCTAGCATGTTCCAGTTACTAAAATATAGCTTTGGTGGAGAGAGGCAGGTAGAGGTGGATAGTAACTAGTTACATCTACTCAGTTACATATACTTAAGTAACTTTTTGAAAAAAATTAACTTTTAGGAATAGTTTTATAGCATTGAACTTTCTACTCTTACTAGTAACATTTCTGACTACTCAATGAACAGCTGCTTTTTTATAACAGATATGCACCATTGAGAGACACACTTTCTTCTTTTTTGTATTCAAGGCTAATTGCATAAGTGTTATTTTGCATCTGCTGAGTCTGCGTTGTCATACGGAGGGGTAAATATTGGCATGGTATTGCGATACAATAGGTGTCACGATACTTTGGTCAAAATACGATATTATAACAATTTCTTCTGTGTATGATGTCATCCGCGCGCCAGACTGGAGTTGTGTAAAGCAGCCCAGGCCACAGGCGGCACAGGCGGCTACTCTCTACCGCTTCTATTCATTCGGCTAGCTAATCTGAATTGTTCAATTCCATTTGGAGAGCGAGATCATCTGTGGTAGCAGCACTAGACATCTTCCAGGCATGTGAGTAAAACTAGCAGCAGTTCAGCGGACAGGAAGAATGAACGGTAGCCGGCGCACGGATGACGTCATACACCCTCCACTTTGTTTTTAAAAGCTAGAAATATAAAAAATATAACCACGGTTGTCTGGGGTCAGTGATTCGCCTACATGTTATGAATGCTGGCGTACCATAAAGAATAAATTATGAACACTTTAGTTTGTGCCTTCAAGTCGTTGCCCATAGGAAGACGTTACTTAGATATAACCTAACGGAATATCTTCAGAACGGCTCCACATGACACAAAACTAATAAGGGTGAGTAGAACATGATGGAATAACGTAAAATCAAGGGCCCAAGAAAAAAAAAAACGGTCTTCCCCTTTAAATTTTTAATATAAAAGAACTTAAAATTAAGTTTTTAATTTTTAGAATATTAAAAATATGTATTATATTTAAAATAAAAAATGTTTAAAAATAAAATTAAACAATAAAACCAGGTATCTGTAAAATATTTTGAAATAATAAACTTTGGTGATATAACATTTGAAAATAGAGAAGTTTCATTCCTGGATTGCTATTTTTTAATGTTTATATATTGTTTTCTTTATTTGCAACAATAGTAAAATAAAATTAACTCTATAAGGTTCAGTCCTGTTAGAAAAGAGTTTCACGATCCTTGGCTTTTAATTATTCCTTTCTTCATTTTGAATAAGAGACAAATTGTCCTTTGCAACGTTTACTTTTGGTTTTTCGCTATAGGCAAATACAAACAGGGAATGAAAAAAATCTAATTGAAGGATAACATTTTTTATAGCTTTTTTTAATGAATGATTAAACGTCTGCAATAACAGAAAAGGATTTTTTTTTCAGCAGCCCTTGTTGCTGCTGTAAGGTTTAAGATCTATAGCAGGAGTTTTCTAATCCATCCTGCCTTCGCTCCGACACCTTTCATGTCCACCTTGTCCGCCCCATCGCCGTCCTCTTCCAGCTAAGACTTTCCTCCACTGCAAACATCCCTGATATGCAGCTCTGTTTCTGTGTCTGCGAACCTGAACGGCACACATGCACAAACACACCCACACAACCAGGATTAATACATCCTGCAGGGTGGCACTTCACTAAAATAGAAACAGTCTTTCTGCATAAATGGGCTGCCTCTGTGAGCCCATCTCAACAGATTACCTCCCCTCCTTGAGATTAAACACGTTTCAGTGAGATTACAGCTCCTCCATTCCAGGACTGCTTTTCCTTTCACGGTTGTTTAGTTATTAACCAGCTGACATAAATCCTTTGGTCCAAGAACACAGAACTCGAAGTTTGGTAATAAAGATGTGCCGCACATAGGAGGCAATTTGGACTCTTCTTAACACTCTATGCCTTGTCTTTCTTGATGCATTAAACCACCTGGAAACCCAGTAGTCTTACCTTGCCTGTCATCTTAAACACATATGTTTTAGTTTCTGTACGATGCCGGTACTTTCCAGCAACACAGATCTCAGCTTCTTTGCATATCCTCCCCCCCGCTGGCCAGCAATAAGGAGCAGAAAGGGCCGCCCTTGGCCACAAGTGTCACGTCTAATGAAAGGCTCCAGCTGCAGAAGCCCCTCTAGCTTGGGTACAGGGAGCGTAAACAAACACCGGTGACCTTCATGATTTCACACAAACACGCCACATATTTTCCTGCTGTAATGCAGAGTTTAATTAAGAGCAAGAATGATAGTTGTGGCATTTAGGCTTTTGTCAGTATGGCTCCGATGACCGCTGAGAGGTCAGGACAGAGATCTACCTCACAGGAGCTGGATGGACCAGGGCCAATAGGTCGACTCAGATCAGAGGAAATCTATCAGCCTGCACCCCCTATTAAAAAGTAGCCATGAAAGTGTCCATCTTTTGACACAATACAAACTGAGATTGCATGGATTGGAGCAGTGGTTCCCTAGCTTTTCCCCCTTTAATTTACAAGAAAGTTTTCACACCCTCTCTATACCCCCAACCACGGCAGGTCAACGGCAGGAAAACACAGATGGCAATACAATAAACTACAGTCTCCATTAA